AGAATGGAATTACTGACATGGTCCGTCTGTATACAGTATATTAATGTCCTTACAGAATGGAATTACTGACATGGTTGGTCTTTATACAGTATATTAATGTCCTTAGAGAATGGAATTACTGACATGGTCCGTCTGTATACAGTATATTAATGTCCTTACAGAATGGAATTGGTGACATGGTTGGGCTTCTATGGATGATTTTCCAGCCGTTACTGTTCAGCCTGATTGGTGCTGCTGTCGACATCAACACTATAGACGGTGGTACTGTAGGTAGGTATTTGACATTTTTTATTTTTTTTAGCTCACCTACCCGAATGGCAATTGAGCTTATGCCATAGCGCAGCGTCCATAACCTGTCCGTCGTCCATCATCCGTTGGTCGTTCATCCGTCAATTTTTCCTTTAAAATGCTACATTTAGCCCTGAACAGCCCAGTAGTGGACTCCATTTTGTATGAATGGTGGGTGTGGCCCCTCTGGGGCCAGACAGGCGGGGCCAAAGAATGGAAATAGAGGTAAAACCTTTAAAATCCTTCTTCTGCCATAGGGTTGAAAGGATTTCATGCTAATTTGGTCTGGAGCATCTTTGAGTTTAAAGCAGTATATTTCTGGGATTATGTCTGTGAGAGAATGAAATGAAAGAATTAAACCACATAATTAAAGTGAGAAAATTCAGGATTTCAACACCACCTCCAAAATATTTTCATCAAAGGATATATCACAGCTATATATATCTGGAATTATACACGAATATCTCCAGGGATGATAGGTAAGAAAAAGCTTGCACATCAATTTTGGGAAAAACGCAAGATTTCAACTGTCCTCAACTCCTAAGTGTTATTGCCAAAATTACAAATTCAAAGGAAGTTACAATTAATGCTGTAAATGTGTCTCTCAGTAAAGTGTTTGGATATGTAAGCATCTATATGGATGTTTCAGGTAAAAAAAGTGTTCCCTGTTTCAAACCTTCTTTCAAGGATAAAAAATAGTGCATGGGAAATCCGACTATGGGAATATAAATACTGTATATACTTTAAGAATGTTGATATTTAAATTCTGTGTTACATTTAATAAATATTTATTTTCACATTAATTCTATTACTATGTTTTCCATTGTATAGCATAACTATGTGCTCATTCAAAAGCTTACCTTTAGCTGTCCAATAAGTTACCTGTAGTCGTCCAATAAGTTACCTGTAGCCGTCCAATAAGTTACCTGTAGCCGTCCAATAAGTTACCTGTAGCTGTCCAATAATTATAAGTTAACTGGGGGCCACACACACCGTTTATACAAAATTGAGTGCTCTTGGCCCAAGGATGCTCCAGACCAAATTTAGTCAAAATTTACTGGGTCGTTCAGGACTAAGTAGCGTTTCGGACCAGGTGAGCTAAAAATTACCTTTTAAATGTTTTGTAGGTATATTGAGCCCAAGTTCAGTAGAAATGTAAATACAATTGTTTAAATCATGGAAAGTCTCAATTCTGCACTTTAACACCTTTCGTAAACAAAGAAACTGGGCAGTCGATAAAATGTTCAGGTAGGGACTGGAATATTTCAATTTCAACAAATTTTATTTACATAAAGAATATTACAATGTCAAAAGGATTAGACAACAGGCTTAAAACCTATAAGTCCTCACCCTTGGTGGTATATACATGGACATATTGTATTGATATTATAATTATAGATAATTACAATTTTGCTAACTGTCAATAATTAATCATGAGAAGTAGGTATCGTATTTGGCGTAGAACCTTTTAGACAATGCAAACATAAAGAAGATAGAGAATAAAAACCCAAGTGTACATTTCTTGACCTCGTGCAACTGGTGTATATTACATATACATAACTAATATAGCAATGGATACAATACAATTATGTACTTATGTTGACTGACGGTTTAATTTCTTGTACATGTAGATTTAATCAATGTTCATTTGATTTTTGTAATAATATAATCCATCGTGATTAAATCTGCATCTTTTGGTATAAAGAAAAGTTGCAGGTATATAAAATGTGTAGATAATTATATGTAACAATATGATCACAAAATAATAATATTTCTTCTAGACAAGTTTCACCGCAAATTATGTACCGAGATACAATTAGATATTTTACAAAGTATGGAATGGGTCGGGAAAGGGGGGTAACTCCAATAACAAAGTTCTTATTAGATACAATCTGCAATATAGGTAATATATACATTGGTTATAAACAGCACATAGAATACAAGTGATAATGATACAATATCAGATTGAAGACCACACAGTCCTTGTGTTACATTAAGGTCTTCAACTGAACACTGTACAGGATCCAGAGCAAATGTTATTGCGGCATAATTTCACAGTAATGTATTTGAATAATACATGTATATGGTAAAGTTGCAGATCTTGAGTAATTTAAAATTAAAGACATAAGGAGTATGGGAGAATATCATCTGCTGTATTCAAATTTAAGCACGTTTGACACAAACAAGTTTTACTGTGCTCCGGCCGGCCTTTATGTCTTCTCACACATTCAAACCAACTGCCATTTTGTTGACCTCAAGCTCATTCGCAATTTTAATTCTTAAATGTATCAATCGTAGACTGCAAAGAAATCTATTTCTGTGATCAGATATCCCATTACCCATCCTAACTGTGCTAAAATTCCACTGTATTTTACAGCAAGGATTCTGTGGCAACTGAAATTCTGCAGCAGTATAATCTGATACATATAGATTATAAAGCAGAGATTCCTTAGCAGCTGAAAACCTGTATCATATGTCTAATTAAGTACTTGAATGAAAATATTATTAAGGCTTGGCCTGCATACGATGCGGATGCCCTATAGAAATCACTGTGTCTAACTGTCTGTTCATCCTCACTTTAGTTTCCAGAATTCAAATGACCAATCTTTCTGAAATTTGACACGGTAAAGCAGTTTGATATGTACATGTGTAATAGGGGTTTAAATACTTTCTTAGGTTAAGGTCAAGGTCACTGTTACTATAAATAGTCCAAATGGGTTATATGGTTGTTATCTCGAAATCAAAGACTAATCTTTTTTTGAAATTTGACATGACAATACTCTTTGATATATAGTTTGTTCAATATGGGTTCAAAATGTTTCTTAGGTCAGGGTAACTGTCCCTTATCTGATCTCTGTGAGACTTACATACATAGATACACCACAGCTGTCCTCGATCAGACCTCTGTGAGACATACATACATAGATACACCACAGCTATCCTGTGTCAGACCTCAGTGAGACATACATACATAGATACACCACAGCTATCCTCTATCAGATCTCTGTGAGACATACATACATAGATACACCACAGCTATACTCTATCAGACCTCTGTGAGACATACACACAAAGATACACCACAGCTATCCTCTATCAGACCTCTGTGAGACATACATACATAGATACACCACAGCTATCCTCTATCAGACCTCTGTGATACATACATACATAGATACACCACAGCTATCCTCTATCAGACCTCTATGAGACATACATACATAGATACACCACTGCTATCCTCTCGATGGCAGGATTCCACACTTGATATTCAGCCTGTGATTTTGCTGAATCCCAGTAAGCCCTGATGGCCCTGTGATTGTCCCCGAGTGTCTGGTAACAGATCCCCAGGAGGGTGTGGACTGTCCAGTATATGTGTCCTCCTTGTTCATCATCAGTCTGGACCACTATGAGGAGCCTTAATGCTTCATCACGCCCTGTAGTATCTCCAAGATCATGACAGCAGAGGAAGGACAGGAACAATGCATAGGGTAGTGGTGGGATAAACACGCATCTTTGTGTTCTTAACATTTCCTGACAGAGATGAGGAAGATACAAGTCTTTCTTTGAAAATATCAATAAGTATATATGCATTTTCTTCAGCCTGTCAATCCGTTCAAATCGATGATATTCATGGCTGTTACAGTACATTGCCTTAAGTTCTGGATGTACAGGTTTGGGATAGCAGTAATATGATGCTAGTTTAATCACTTGTTTGCACATTTCCAGAGGTTTAAAGTAATTTCCAGTCAAAAAATGAAAGGTTGCCAAACGTAGCAGTTCAGTTCCCATGGAGGCTCTGGGAATCATCCAGCGTTTACATTTCCTCAGACTTCTGTACCTGGTCTTGTTGTCTGTAGCAACCTTGTGCTCCGGATAAACCTGCTGTTCTGCAAGATTTTGTAGGTATTTCATAGCATAAGTGAATGTGAAAAGTTCATCTGATTCTGACTGTGATGTCGAAAATGAATTAATTGCCTTCCTGACGGACCTAAGTATACACAAGGAAGCTGCATAGATGGCAACATCAATTTCTTGTATACAATGAAGGAATAGTTCATCTTGATTGAACACAATGTCCTGTGTAGTCATGGGACTCACAAGTTGAGCTTGTACTGAAGGATTACACAGTTGTTCCCATATAGGTTTAAAGAAGTTTCCTACCGAAAGACACTTCCATTTCATCTGATGGTAGTTGCTCAAAACATCTAACAGAATTTGCTGATGTTGTCCATGGACTTTCCTCTTGAATAAGTTGTTGGCTGGGATGAAGTAATTGGGACAGAAACCTGCCTTGACCAAAGCAATTAGTATTTTGAAGCAAAACCAAAAACAATAAAATAAGTTTTTCTCTTGCCAGAACAGTTGGTTGGAATTCTCAATGGCATGAAAAAGGATTGTCTTTAAGAAATAGGAGCACAAGATATCATCCCCAATGGTTTCTTTTAATATTCCTTTAATTTGTTTCAAAAAATATTTCAGCAAAGCATAAACTTTGAGTTGGATGTGACTAAAGGAGTGAACTAAAGATCTCTCTGCTGTTGCAAATGAAATTCTCCATTTGAGAAAAGTGTTCTCAGAACACTTGTCTCCAACTGGGACAAGATGACATCCATGGTGTACAATATTGTCTATCAAGGTTTGATGTGGCCATCCATACGGACGTGTACGTATAATCCATTCATTAGCTTCCTTTGGCCAACCATGACATGGAAAACAAAAAACAATGTCTTGTTGTTCACCTGTCGTATCTTTTGTACAGGCTGGTCCATTTGATTCCACTTTCACCCCTGTGTGTTTACCAATGCCACTGACAAATTGCTCTCTGAAGATATCACTGGAAACAAACATTGAATCCTCAATTCTAACTAGTGCATTAGTTAACAACCTTGAGTAACATCTCTTTTGTAACAGAGGAAGCTGTAGGAGGACATAGCCAGGGCGGCAATCTGCTGCTCTTGCGTACAGAATTGTTTTGTGTGCCATATTTGGAGGAATACACTGATCAGGGTACATAACTATAACATCCTTCATAATGAACATTATGTCTACATCTGAACCCAATATATTAAGTCCCTCTGCAGTACTTCCAGCTCGAAAGATAGAAAATAATTCATAACTTTCAAAATGCCTCTTTGAAAGATATGCCTTTCTTTTGATATCTACCACTTCCTGTGTCCCTGTGTAAGCCAATTCTAGGTATTTTGACAGAAGCACTGACATCCGCTCGTCCTCTGTGGAATCCATCATCAGATGTTTATCTTCAGGATTTAATCTGCAATGAAGAAACTGAAGCTTATAAAGAGGAAGACTGTTGTTATCTCTGCCTTTTCATCAACTAAACATTCCGAGTGAATTTTTCATTTCAGTAATAATTACCATAACTTTAGTATGCATATACAATACCTACACCCATCTTTGTAGCCCAAAAACAAAAGATTCAAATATCCCTACCTCCCTACCGTGACGTAACCTCTATCTCGATGACAGAGCCACGGAGTGATCTCCCTTCCTCTTCCTTTTATGGCGCCTGCTGCATGCTGAGGCACGGAGCTTGCTCCAATTCAAAACTTTGTGTTTTTTGGGTTTGGTTTGAGTGTCAACTCATATTTTTGTGCAGTTTGTGTGCCTTTTACCCATCTGCCCTTATTGATATAACTAATTGTTGTTGAAAATTATTTTTGTGCCTTTTACGGCCGGTTATTTTACTCCACGTGTGCCGGTGGTGTGCCACGGTCCGCCATTATCGTGGGTTAATTTCCGACCTCTGTTTATTTCGGTGACGGTTGTTTGTTTCGGCAAACGTTATTTATTTTAACCGTTTTCTGATTTATATTACGGGTGAAATTCTTTCTACGTTGCGTACTTTGTACTATCGTATTTTATCCTTATTTTCCCGTTTTATCTGCTTGTAAA